GGTGTGTCAGAATGTGTAGTTTGTCTAGCCTGCAGTGGGGTACTCTATAGTGAGTACGGCCCTTTAGGGTTTCCTATATGTATCCACCTGCTTGCTAGTGCAACTCCTCCTTTGCTTATTTTCTCTTGCCTAGCTCGCTAAAACCTAGCTATGGCTCCTCGTTCTGCCTACTATTGTGACATGGTAACAGAGCTGTTACGCTCTTGGCCTGTGGGCCCACCTGCTTCCGCTGCTTTCCTGTTTGTCGCGCGCCCCGTGGCGCGCGACGCTGTTTTTTCTTCCCGCCACGCGCTCGGGGCGCATGGCGGTTTTCTGCCCGCCGCGCGCCCCGGGCGCGCGGCGGTTTTCTGCCCGCCGCGCGCCCCGGGCGCGCGGCGGTTTTCTGCCCGCCGTGCGCCCCGAGGCGCGTGGCGGCTTCCTGCTTCATGCGTCACCCCAGGGACTCGCGCGTCCCCCCCCCCCGTCGACGGTCGCGTCACCCCCCCTGGAGCTCGTCGCGTCGCCCCGCAACCCGCGCGCGGCCCTCGCTGCCCCGTCGCGACGCCATGGGGAGCCGCTCGCGCCCCCCCGCTGCCCCGTCGTGGCGCCCTGGGGAGCCGCGCGCGGCCCCCGCAATCCCGTCACGGCGCCCCGAGGAGCCGCGCGCGACCCCCCGCTGCCCCGTCGCGGCGCCCTGGGGAGCCGCACGCATCCCCCCGCTGCCCCGTCGTGGCGCCCTGGGGGCCGCGCGCCGTCCCCCGCGCTGCTGCCCGCGCTCCTGCCCCGTGCTGCCCGTATTAGGGTTTGGGGGTGGCGAGTGTGGGGGTGACGGGTGTGTGCGCCATCCCCTGCTCCTCCTCCTCCTCCGTCTCCCACTACTGCAGCTGTCGCTGAGGGGGGTGGGTGTGTGGGAGCGAAGGAGTGGTGCTAGGGGGGTGTCGTGGGAGTGATGCTAGGGGTGCAGCAGGGGGTGTGAACGGGAGTTTTGGGACAAAGGGGGAGGTTGAAAGGGGGTGGCCGCCGTTAAGCCAGCAGCTCCAGTCGCCCGTGAGACCGTTGCGCCAGTCGCCAGTGAGCCCGTCGCTCCAGTCGCCCGTGAGCCCGTTGCTCCAGTCGCTCGAGAGTCAGTTGCTCCTGCCGCTCATCTAGCCGCAGAGCCAGTTACTCCAGTTGCCTGTGTGCCAATTGCTCCAGTTGCCAGTGTGCTAGTTGCTCCAGTTGCCCGTGTGCCAGCAGCTTCAGCTGCCGCCCACTACCTCCTCTCCTCTCATAGTCCCTCCTCCTCCTCACTAGCCCTCTGTGATAGCCTCTAGCTTTGCTTATATTTGTGAACTATAAACTGCTGCTTGTTGTGCTAATCATACCCCACTTTGACTATGGGGGTGTGTTAGAATGTGTAGTTTGTATAGCCTGCAATGGCGTATTCTATAGTGAGTACGGCCCCTTAGGGTTTCCTATATGTATCCACCTGCTTGCTAGTGCAACTCCTCCTTTGCTTATTTTCTCTTGCCTAGCTAGCTAAACCCTAGATATGGCTCCTCGTTCTGCCTGCTACTGTGACAAGGTGCGGCGGCCAGCAGGGTAGCGCGCAGGCAGGGCAGGGTGGCGCTGCGCTAGCAGGGCAGCGCGACGGGCAGGGGAGGGCGGCGCGCGACCAGCAAGGCGGCGCGATGGGCAGGCAGGGCAGGGCGCGGCCAGCAGGGCGGCGCGACGGGCAGGGCAGGGCGGCGCGGCGGCCTGCAGGGCGGCGCGCGGGCAGAGCAGGGCGGCGCGGCGCTAGCAGGGAAGTGCGACGGGCAGGGGAGGGCAGCGCGCGACCAGCAGGGCTGCGCGACGGGCAGGCAGGGCAGCGCGCGGCCAGCAGGGCGGCGCGACGGGCAAGGCAGGGCGGCGCGCGGCTAGCAAGGCGGCGCAACGGGCAGGGCAGGGCAGCGCGACTGGTGGGGCAGCACGACGGGCAGGGTAGGGCACTACGGGCAAGGTAACACGCTACGGGCAACGAACTATACGGTGGGCAAAAAAAAAAAAAAACGGTCCTTGGACAGGACATTATCTGAAACCATGTCAGAATACTGAACGGGAATGAATGAACTAAGATCAAAGTGGGTACTGTCAGAGGTCCACTGGTGATCCCCGATTGATCCTAGGGAAGGGTTACAGGCGCGCTGGCCTGGGGGGTTATGGGCGCACTTACCCGCTACACAAACAAACCCTTTTATCCCAATGGTCTAGTGGTTGGGATTCTGACATGGTATCAGAGCGAAGGTCTCGGGTTCGAATCCCGGTGTGTGCACTTCGGGCATCCCAGTGCGGGGGGGTGTCAGAGGTCCACTGGTGATCCCCGATTGATCCTAGGGAAGGGTTACAGGCGCGCTGGCCTGGGGGGTTATGGGCGCACTTACCCGCTACACAAACAAGCCTTTTTATCCCAATGGTCTAGTGGTTGGGATTCTGACAGGTACAAGTACTAACCCTAATTGGGTTGTACCCCTTATGGGCTACCCCACTACAGCCTACACAACCTAAATATAATAATAGTTTGACAGAGGTTTGGGGGTGTCGCGATTGGTGCGGGGCGACTCGGAATGTGGTTTGGGGGGATGTTGGCCGAACCCAATTGGCGCGATGCCTTGGGGGCATCCCGTTAAGGGCGGACTAGAGTAATGGATTATGAATTTGTTATAGAGAAATTATATGGGAAGTAATAATATAGCCCGTTTTATGACGTTTGGTCACATGGGTCTTACGGACAGTCACAATACAGTTCATATATATCGCCTGTGATCACAACGCTATCATAGATAGTCACACATCGCCCCGTATTGCTAACACTTTTGGTCGCACAATGAAACGATTTCTAAAATGTTGAAACTCGAAAAATTTCTGTAAAGATTCTATGAAAGTTAGCTCGTGGCACAGTGTTCACTGTACGATGTTGCAGAATGTCACTGCAAATAGCATTTTAGATCGATAAAAATCCAAAGTTTTTTTTGTTGTAAAAAAAAAACTAAAACCCTAAACACTTTGTTGCATGTTGTTTAGGGTTGATGCCCCCCAAAGGGCATGCCATTCAATAGAGGTATATATTTTGTTATATCACGCGAGAATCATGTGCAAGGTAACAAGCAATCAAGGGGCAATGTTGGGCGTGGATTTAAAAAAGAAGACAGCAACGAGTTCACGACCTAGGTCGAAAAAATATTTCGGTGGTAACTGTGTTTTTCAATACGGACAAAACTGCGCCGGAGCTAACTTTCCGGAGATCTTTACAGTACTTTTTGGAGTTTCAGCTTTTCAACAATCGTTTCATTGAGTGACCAAGCGTGAGAGCATAGCAGGGCAAGGTGTGACTATCTTTGATAGCGCCGTGATCACCCGTGATAGATACGAACTGTGCTGTGACTGTCCGTGATACCCATGTGACCAAACGTGTTAGAACGGGCTTAATTGTGACTGTCGGTATAATTTCCCTTTATTACACCTAGGTTAGATGAGCAACCGTCGAGCATGCCTGCCTGCCCCCAAGCCCACCACCATCTCACACCAACTCAGCTCCCTGTAGCCATATCACACACGATTCACCCCAACCTTAAAGCTGAAGTATACATTTGTCATCCAGGTTTTGGGTTTAGAAAGTCACCTCACGGTCTCACAGGCAAACTTTCAAATTTCAAAAGTTTTTGAACCCCTTCTGTCAAATGTATACGAAAGCTTTAAAGATGCGATCTACATACTTCGAGGGACAGGCCCTGGTTTATCACTTGAAAACAGGGTAGCACTGTCCCGTCGGAGAAACGAACAATCGTTGCGGAAGGAAGGAGGGGGATGGGCGCAGAAATTTCCGCTTGGTTGTTTGTGTTCTGCGCAGAAATCTCCACCTTTCCGCGGATTTGGGCCCCCCAAAGCGAACTCACTCACGAAATTGACTGCGCTCGTCAGCGGGGTGCGAAGTCCTCGCACTGGTGTTTTGGGAAAGAATACACTTCGCTCTTCAATCAACAAACGCAAAAGGGTGTGCACCTAGATTGCCCCCAAAAACCCATTTTAGTATGTAGACCGCCACGAGTCGATGGTCGTTGGCCCAAGAATCAAGGTAGAGGCGAAAATCAGAGCTGGACTTCGTTGCACCTGCTTTCCGGTTAACCACCGTTTTCATATTGGCTCTTGAAGTTTCTGTCACACAGTATTCTCAAGGTTTCCAGGGATTTTCGCAGCATCACAAATCTCCGTAGTACTGACGCGTTGTCAGCCATTGCTGGCGAGCATCCATGCGACCCTGACGACTTTGGTTACCCTGGCAGAATAAGAACATTAGCCATCGAAGATCAGTTGAGTGAAAACGTGGAGACGTTTAAAGACAATAACACTTCACATGCGCTCCCGAGGCAAACGCGTAACTGCTGCACAGAGCGCACCATCCTATTGTTTCTTAGGAAGAAGTCTGGATTGAGAGGCTGGATTTCGTATCGTCTGTCATGCTCCTAGAATGTGCTTGTTCTTCTTCCAAGGCGTTTCCAGTCAAATCAAATTCGCGGTCTTTGTGTCACGCGCACGAACGTCATCATGGACCCCATGGCGTGGCGGTGGGACCAGCGGTGTGCGTCCAGCTCGAGAGGTGAACGCCGCTTGCCTCGCTCAAGTGATTTTGACGTTACGCCATCACAATACTACGTCAGGGTCGGGATCGCGCGTGTGCTTCGCCATGGCAGAGAATCGGGCACGCTTTGAGCCATCACGTGGGAACACGAGGACCGCGCTGGGTGCAGCTAGCCCACGCACACGCTCGGATCCTGACCCAGAGAAAATAGGCTTCGTGTCGTCGAATGTTCCGATATTTTCACGGCACAAAGCGCGGCATTTATTCATTGATCATTCGCGCAGCATCAGGCTTCCAACGAGCAAACAGTCGCTGCGCCCAGTGACGGTGGTCCTCCCTCGCAGCCCTTGGTCGCCATGCCTCGCTGCGTGGGAGTTGACTCGCGAGCCACCAAGGCAAGCGCCTGAGGCCCAGTAACTCGGCCATGCCGCCCAGCAATGCCGCGCACTCTTTCGCTGCTCGACTCGTGGAGTGCGGAGGACTATTTAGGTGGAGAGCGCGCGTGCAGTGTATGCAGAGAGAGATTAATCGCGTACCCTCATTTCAAGCCGCTCGCACCCTAAGGCTACTATCCCTTCGCAACCTAAGGCTAATATCCCTTCGCACCCTAATGCTACTATCCCTTGGCCCGCGCGGCGGAATGAGCTGCCTAGACGAGCCGCACGGCGCATTTGGCTGCCCGGATGGCCCGCTGGGGAGCAGTAGCCCCTCCTTCGCCTGCGACCTCAACGCTTGCGAACTCAACGCCTGCGACCTCAACGCTTGCGACCTCAACGCCTTCGATCTCGTCGCATCCGACCTCGTCGCCGCGCATCGCCATTCGCCCTTCGCGCTCCTCGCATCGCTCCCCGTGTCCGCCCACGCGTGCGAGTCACGCGCCGCGCTGACTGTGCCCGAGCTGATGGAGCAATGCGAAGCTGAACGGCACGACACGTGGCAGCAGCGCGTGACGCATCAGCGCCGGTGGAATGCCGCGGCCGCGCAGCCGAACCACTCCGCTGCGCTCCCCATACGCGCCCGGGGGTGCTCCGCGTGGGCCTCCGCGTCGTCCGGCACAACCGCCGCCGCCCTGACCCACTCGCAGCCATTGCTGGCAGCAGCAGCAGCAGCAGCAGCAGCAGCAGCAGCAGCAGCAGCAGCAGCAGCAGCGCCAGCAGTAGCGCTCTGGAACGGCAATGAACGCGCAGGCAGCGAAGCACACGCGGCCACCATCCATCCCACGAGTCGCGCTGTGAACGGACTATGTAGCCCCGCACACACTTGGCGAGAGGCAGCGGAGGCGTGTCGCGAGCGCGACGATGGCTCGCCTGCACTCCGCGGTGGCGCTGCTGCCGCGAGCGCCACAGGGGGTGCCGTCGAGTCGGCGAGCAGGGCTGCTGCTGCTGCTGCTGCTGCTGCTGCTGCTGTCAACGCAGGTGGGAGGCAGGGTGCGCGTGGGTGTAGCGCGGTGGAAAGGGAGGGCGCGGGAAGAACCCCATCGGACCATGGCACGCTGAGGCGCTCCCAAACGGCAGGAGCAGTCGAGCTGGCGGGAGGAGGAGAGGAGACCCCCGGCAGCGCAGATGTGAGCGCGTGGCGTGCTGTCAGAGGCGCCAGGGGGAGCCCCGCCGCTGCCACACTGACCTCCCCTCCCCGCCCCACTTCCTGTGCGCCCGCTGCTGCTGCTGCTGCTGGCCCCCTTGGGACTGGAGGGGAGGGTGTGGACGGGTGGATGTGGGAGTACCAGGGGTGCTTCGAGCAAAGCAGTTGGAACTTCAGCAGCGCAGCCCACTCCCCGCAGACACACCTTCACGTCGCTCACAGCACTGCCCGCACTAGCAACTCCTCGTTCTTCTCCCCATCCCACCACGCGCTCACCCCTGCTCACGACCTGCTGCCTCGCAGTGCGTTCCTCCACCTCTCTGCTCTCGATCCATGGTCTGCTGTGCACTCCCTTGCCCCATGCTCTGCCATGGGTCTGGCTGCCACGGGTGCTGCTGTGTGTGCAGCAGCAGTGTGGTCGCCATGGGATGCCACTCCCTCCTCCACTCCTGCCACACCTGCACTGCCGCCCATCCCCGTTGCGCCGCCCAGCACTGCCCCTCCGCCGCCCACGCCCAGGCCGGCACAGCTGCAGCAGTCCTTCCAGCGTGCTGCTGGCAAGGGTGCTGCGAGTTCTGGAGAGGGTACTGGCAGGTGGTGGGGGAGGCTCACATGGCCGTGGCGGCGATGCACCGACACGCGCAGGCGGGCAAGCACATACCGCGCCCTCCCTGTGCTGCTCACCTGCTGCATGCTCTCATGAGTCATGACCTGCCTGTGCCGTCGCGCCTGCGTTAATAGCTGATGCCCCTGCAAAAGGATAAGCCTAACTTCTCACCTGTCTGAGGGGGGGGTTGGGGGGGGGGGGGGTTCTAAATCCATCGCCTGTGGGCAAGGAGCCACAGGCAAGTAAATGCCGAGGCAGGTAACGAGGTAGCCGCGCCCTCTGTGTTGCTCAGCTGCTGCATGCGCCGATGCGCTTGCCGTGCCATCTCTCCTGCGTTAATTGCTCACCCCCTCCAAAAAGAATCAGGGACTTAACTATACACATTTCAAATGGGGTTGTAATCTAAACCCCTCATCATAAGGGCCGCTTCCTGTGTTATGTGTCAGAATGTTATTCTCTAGCCTGTAGTGGGGTGCTCTATAGCGAGTACAACCCATCTAGGGTTTGCTATATGTATCCTCATTGCTGCTAGTGAAAACCCTCTCTCTTTGCCTAAACTGTTTCTTGCCTAGCTAGGGCTTTCCTAGCTATGGCGCCTTCTTCTACTGCTTATCTTCACATGGAATCAGAGCACATACGCTCCTGGCCTGTGGGCCCTCCTACTGCTTCCGCTGCCCTACGCTGTGTCGCGCGCCCCGTGGTGCGCGGCCTCTTATTTTTCATCCCGCCGCGCGCTCGGGGCGCGCGGCGGTTTTCTGCCCGCCGTGCGCCCCGAGGCGCGCGGCGGTTTACTGCTGTGGGGGAGCCAGCGCGCGCCCCGCCCGTCCGTCGCGGAGCCCTGGGGAGCACGCGCGGCCCCCCGCCCTGCCCGTCGCGGCGCGCTGGGGAGCCCGCGAGCCCCCCGTCCGTCCGTCGCGACGCCCTCGGGAGCCCGCGAGCGCCCCGCCCGTCGGTCGCGACGCACTGGGGAGCCAGCGGGCGCCCTGCGTGGTCGTCGCGACGTCCTGGGGAGGCCGCGCGCGCCCCGTCAGCTCGTCGCGGCGCCCTCGGGAGGCCGCGCGCGCCCCGCCAGGCCGTCGCGGCGCCCTGGGGAGCCGCGCGCGCCTCCCCCCCGCCCGTCCGTCGCGGCGCCCAGGGGAGCAGCGCGCGCCACGCCCCTTCCCTCGCCCCACCCGTCCGTTCTGGCGCCCTAGAGGCGCGCGCCTTCCCCCCCCTCTCCGTCCCCCGCGCTCCTGCCCCTATCCCACCCGTTTTAGGGTTTGGGGGTGAGGAGTGTGGGGGTGGTGGTTGTGGGGGTGTCCGTTGTGCGCGCCGTGCCCTTCTCCTCCTCCTCCTTTGTCTCCCACTGCTGCAGCTGTCGCTGAGGGGGGTGGATGAGTGGGAGACTGGGGTTTAGGGTTTTAGGGGGGTGCGTGGGAGTGGAGCTAGGGTTTGAGCAGTGGGTGTATGTCGAGGGTGTGGGGCAGTTGGAGGAGGTTGTGTGGAGGTACCTGTCGTGTCGCTTGCAGCGCCTGTAGTCCGTCGCCCTTGCTTCGGTAGCCAGTGAGCCTGCTGCACCAGTCGCCAGTGGGTCCGTTGCTCCTGCCGCTCTTCTATAGCCGCCGAGCCAGTTACTCCAGTAGTCCGTCGCCCTTGCTTCGGTAGCCTCTGAGTCAGCCGCTCCTGTGCCCGTGCCTCTGCAGCTTCAGTCGTTGCCTCCCATCTTCTCTACCTCCACAGCTCCTCCTCCTCCTCACTTGCCCGCTGTGATTAGCTCTAGCTTTGCTTACCTTTGTGAACTCCTGCTCTATACCTGCTTGCTCATTGTACTGATTACACCCCACTTTGGCTATGGGGGTGTGTCAGAATGTTATTCTCTAGCCTGTAGTGGGGTGCTCTATAGCGAGTACAACCCATCTAGGGTTTGCTATATGTATCCTCATTGCTGCTAGTGAAAACCCTCTCTCTTTGCCTAAACTGTTTCTTGCCTAGCTAGGGCTTTCCTAGCTATGGCGCCTTCTTCTACTGCTTATCTTCACATTATGGGCCCTGGAGGTTACATACATGACCAATATGGCTTTTCATTTCCACCTTTTTGGCAAACTGAAATTGGTTCTTGTTAGTGAGGCTCACAGTAGAGAGTATAACACTTCTATGGCCATCGCCCGGATATGAAACATATATGTCTTATCTCGTACACGGGCAAAAATGCTTGGGTTATCTTGTACTAGGTACGGTTTAGGGTGTCTTACGGTATAAGTCTTATAAATGGACTGATGTTATAACTGAAGGATCGTAGTGGATAGAATAATGCTGCTAAGTGTAAGAGAGAGAGAGAACTGTGAAGTCTCTATAATGACCTTGTTAATAAATTGAAGGAGAACAAGATCATTATAAGATAGGAGTATAAGGATATAAATAGCATTCCTAGCTAGCCATGTACTCTGAGGGGTACATTACCTTATTAACCGAATTGCATTGCTACAATAACCACGACTATTGTCATTCTAGACAGTTACCATGTTGCACTTCGTAACTGCCCTGTGCGGTTACTGGGCAGTCAAGGGTCACGACCGTTGACTGTCTTCGACTGTTGACCTTCGGGTGACCCTCAACCTTCCGCGTGCTCTATATGAGCTAATGCGGTACTGATACAGGCGCTTGCTTCGCTATGAAGTGACGCGACAGTGGAGAGACTTCGGGAATGCTTATGATAACCTTTCGGTTATTTCAACACTCCCCTTCATTCCTGAAGGTGAGCCACGGGGACTTCTTGGTGATCCCGCAGAGGTTGGCGCAGTGCTGAAACTGTTGACGTGGCAGTTTCTTTGTCAGAAAGTCGGTCGCCATGTCACCAGTTGGGTAGTACGCCAGCTTGACCTTGCCCTTGTCGATTTCATCTTTGACGAAAAAGTAGCGAAGGGCGATGTGTTTCGTGCGGTTCACGAAGCCGGGCTTGTTCGGGATCTTGATCGCGCTCTGGTTGTCGCAGAGTAACGTGAAGTTCCCGTTCATTGTTACTTTCGCTTCCTGCAGGAGCTCCATTAGGTACAGTCCTTCGCGAACAGCTGCGCTGGCGATGAGTTCCTGCTTCTGAGAGTTCCATGAGATGAGTCATGCAGGTTGAAGTTGAAAAATGAATCCAGTGCGGGAGCGTCTGTTGTCAACATCTCCTGCATGGTCTGCGTCTACGTAGCCGTGCAGCTGCAGGGTAGCCGTTCAGTTAGCTTCGTAGGTGAGGCCGACGTCGGAAGTAGAGATGAAGTATTGAAGTGCGCGGCATAGATCCCGTAGATTCTCCCCTTCAGGTCGCTTCAAGTACTGAGCGAGCTGGCTTGCGACATAGGAGAGATCGGGCCGGCTCGTGACGGCGGCGAACAGGAGGCACCCTAGCTGCTGCTGAGAGAGCCGATGATCCTCGAGAGAGAGGGGCGTGGTGTCTGGTTCGTGGTTAGGTGGAGGAGTGCGAAAAGGGGTAGTGAGGCTGATAGGTGCGATCCCGAATTTCTTCGCGAGTGTTTCGGCATATTTAGCGGCGGAGAGGTGAATGGAGGAGGCGGACTGGGTGATGTTGAGACCCAGGAATTGAGTGATGTCGTGGTTGACAGTGACTTCCAGCTTCTCCTTGATATCCGCTTCGAACTGGTCCAGTAGCTCCGTGTCGTCGCCGGTGTAGAGGAGGTCGTCAACGTAGGCAACGAGGAGGATGAATTTGCCGCGCGACTCCTTCCTGTACATGCCGAGGTCATGTGGCAGCTGTTGAAAGCCGAGCTGCGTGAGTACCGTGTGCAGGTACTGCTGCCAGAGGCGAGGTGCTTGCTTAATCCCGTATAGGGAATACTGGAGCAGGCAGACGGCGCCGTCGTTCTCTTCGAAGGCATGCGGCTGCTCGACAAAGATGATTGTGACACGACTCTCCGAGGAGTGTGCAGTGCAGTGTAGTGCAGTGCGCCTCTCTTTCTTTTCTTTCTTTCTCTCTCTTTTTTTTTTTTTGTCATGCTTAATAAAGCACAAGTATGAAGGGGTCGTACCGCACACCTTCAACCTGAGTGGAAACCCCTCCTTTTTTTTTTGTGTGTGTGTTTTTTTTTTTTTTTTTTTTTTTTTTTTGAGAACCTCTACTCTACTTTTCTTTGATCTCTTGTCTCTTTTCTCTCGTCCAATGTTGTTGTTGTTTTTTTTTTTTTTTTTTTTTTTTGGGTGTGTTAACCCCATATGCTTTTGAGGATAATAGAAACTATATACTTGTAAGGAATTTCTTTTTTTTGTTTTGTTTTTGTTTTTGTTTTTTGTTTTGAAGGTATTTCATTGTAGTGATAACATAATAATGGTCTCTTTGACAAACCTCAATACTAAACAATCTTAGAGGGTTGATTAGCCCCTTGGCCCCGTTGTGAGCAATCGGCTATTCCGTGGCCCGGCTCTCGGCAATAAAAGCACCGCCCATCGCCGTCCCTACGCCAAGTCCAATGGCATTCCCCTTGGCCGCGGTTGCGAGGCGTGGGGTTGGGGCGAGAGGAGGTGGTGGGCCGGTGAGGCCTCTTTTTGCTTGCCGCTACAATCTGTGTGGCGGCCTTGACATTCTTATCCTCCACCACCTCGCCATATTTAATCTTTAAGGCCATATTGGCCACCTCAAAACCGCGTTGATCCGCGGTAAATAAAAAATGAATCTTTTCTTCCGTTTCATCTACAACCTGCTGCAGGTAGTCGCCAAGTTGCTCGCCGCCGTGAGAGGGTAAAATGGAAATAGCATGTTGTGCAATCGCTTGAATGCGCTCGAAACTAAAGAGTTGAGTGCAAATGTCGTCACTTTTAACAAGGGAGGAACGCAGCTGAGGGCGTGCGGGAGGGATGGGGGCAAGGTTGATAGGCGCAGCGCTGAGTTTGAGTCGAATGATATTACCTTCGTCGAGGTTCTCGGCGTTTGCGCGGTCGTCCTCGTCGCCACGCTCGTGATTGAGAGGAGGAGCACGAGGACGAGGTGCTGCTGCAACCGCTGGACGAGTATTTTCAGGCGCTGGCGCCGGGTCGCCGGTGCTGTTGCGTTGAATCGCCGCAAGAAGACCGAGAGCATGCCGAATCGCCTCGTTGTTGTTCGCTTCCGCTCCAATATT